TGTGAGGTGTATGATGACTTTTGACCAGGCATGTGGACATGTGGTTTTAAAGAGATAAATACCCAAATCCTCACCTTCTCTGTCCTTTTTCTAAAACCTGATCTAAGAAGTCTCTTTGTGTTACAGCATCATGTTGGTGCTGGTTCTCCTTTCCCAGCTCTCCTCTCACAGTCACCCCACTTCCATTTCACAGAAGAAAGACAGTTTGTAAATGTATTGGTCATACATATAGAGTGTTATATTTTGTTGCCCCAGGATTTGTTGTTGCCCCAGGGTGGGTAAAAACTTCTGGGGCCCCAAATAAAGGGACAGTTAGAGATGGCCTTGCATTAAGGTGAGTACACAGCAGCAGTGACAGCACCTGGGCCTGCAGGGAACGTACACTCAAATAAATTTACTCTTCAGCCCGCAGTTCCTGACTCCAGGGGCGAGACACTTCAAGTGAGGTGAGGAGGAGGTTCCAGGACCTGGATCCCATCTTTTGCAGGGATATAATTCACCAGAGACCAAGATTTCTAGCCAGAAATTGAGGGCAGCTCAAGGAGAGACTCCAGACACAGCATCCTACTTACTGGCTATTTCCCAGTAACAGAAGAAAATGATCAAGTCCCAGGTGACTTTTGGTTTGTTTTATTCTTTCCTTCATCACATGATTGATTTCTGGAAGACTTTAAAAGTCAATTGAATTAAGTGAAAAAGTATAAATTGGCAAACTAGGATTTGTGCATCAGTAAATTTAGATTTTAATTTCAACATCTAGGCAAAGTAGGATCGGGACTATATTGTTCACATGTGGTATCATAGAAAAATATTTGGTCTTTGTCTGCAGTTCTTGGCATAGAGCTCCTAAAACCCTTGGAATTTCCTGAATGATAAGGATCTTTTTTTTTTTTTTTTTTTTTTTTTTGAGACAGGGTCTCACTTTGTCACCCAGCTGGAGTGCAGTGGTGCAATCTTGGCTCACTGCAGCCTTGGCCTCCTGGGCTCAAGCAATCATCCCATCTCAGCCTCCCAACTAGCTGGAAGTGTGTGCCACCAGGCCCAGCTAATTTTTTGTATTTTTTTTGTAGAGATGGGGTTTCACCATGTTGCACAGACTGGTCTGTAACTCCCGAGCTGAAGCAATCTGTCTCCCTTGGCCTCCCAAAGTTCTGGGACTACAGCTGTGAGCCACTATGCCTGGTGCTCTTTTTTTCTAGTGAGACTACTCTCAGTGGACCCCTAGGTAGCTTCAGTGTGGAGACTGGTTGCCAGAAAGACCAAGCCTTGATGAGAAGCTTGGAACTTTCAGTCCTACCCCTAATCTCCAGGGGGTAGAGAGAGGCTGGAGATTGAGTTCAGTCACCAGTGGCCAATGATTTATTCAGCCATGCCTGTGTAACATAAAAACCCCTAAACAGCGGGGTTTGGAGAGCTGGGTTGGTGAACACATTGAGGTGCTGGGAGGTTTGTGCATGCAGAGAGAGCATGGAAATTTATGCCCATACACCACCATACCGTGCCCTGTGCAGCTTTTCCATTGGGTTGTTCCTGGGTTGTAAATAAACCAGTAACAGTAAAGTGCTTTCCTGAGTTCTGTGAGTTGTTCTAGTAGATTATTGAACCTCAAGGTGGGTTGCAGAAATCCCCACATTTGTAGCCAAGGGACAAAAGTCTTTGTAACCTGCGGACCTCACACTTGTGACTGGTGTCTGAAGTAAGGTTGGTCTTGTGGGACTGAAACCTTAACCTATGGGTCTTCCAGGAGTTGGTGTCAGAATTGAATCTTGTATTTGCTCTTTCACTAAATTGGTACATGCTAGACCTTACCTATCCTCTGTATTTATTAATCTGTCTTTTATGTATTGCATCATTCTGTGGAGAATTGTTGGCTCAGTTATATCTTTCTCAACACTGTA